TACACTCTGATTCGTAATTGCTGCTTCTCTGTATTTAACGTTCTCTGGGGAAGGGGACTAAAATGTTTTTTGCATAAATTAACCAAAATATTCATGAAAACGACAAAAAAATCGGTAAAATGCAAGTTAGTTCACATGACTATTATGAAGGATGCGGTCGCGAGGGACAAATTCGTTGTATATTCCTCAGTGAGTTCCATGCGACAGCTGGTTGCAAAATCACCTGCCAGGTGAGTGCCAATAGAGGATTGCAAACGATTCTTCAGCTTATTTTGCCTTTGCAGGTGCCCGCGGACTATGTTAGCAAAGAAGTATTTGATGCGATTAATGTGTACATCATACCGAAACCTCACCTACAGCGCTGTATACTAACAGTGAATGCGATGGATGTAAAAATAGTGGGTTATCCAGTTGGTATTGAGAATCAGCAGAAGTATGCGCGTAATGCGTTCCTATTCAATTTATGCTTTGTATGCGACTCGTGGGCAAGATCAGTGCAGTATGAACCAGTGGTAAAAAAATTATCAGAGTATTTGGTAAGTGACGCGCTGGTATGGGCAATCCATTTTATAAACCACATCTTTTCCTGCCGCAGATAATGATGGAAGAAGAGTCGTGCTTCTTGTCGAGAGATGGCGATAACAAGATGAAGTTGCAAAAAATATTTGAGACTGTAATAAAGGATTTGAATGAAAAGAAAGTAACTACAATTGTGGGTTAGTATATGCAGTACATAAAATATGGGTTTTTTTAATGAATTTTAATGTACATTTTAATTGTATAGAAGGAGATACTACAATTTATTTAAAAATAGTAACACATAAACCCGACCCACCTGTTGTAAAAGATCACATGGTGCCTTTGCTATTAGTGGACTTTAAAAATACACCTCTAGATAAATGGGATTTAACTACGCAACAGGTAACTTATATGTAATATAAAATTATTAATACCTATTTATGAACTTCTATTGTGCTTTAGATCTTCCCATACATTAATGGGATCAATCACATTGCACGAATAGCGGCCGAAGCAGATGTAGAAACTAATTTGGTAAAATCCTGCATACAAAATTTGGCTTATTATGGTGTTGTACATCTACTGCCTATACTCAAGTATAGCAACGTCTATATGTGCACGCAACATTTGAAGAGTTTAATTAAAATTCCCTCATTGAGTCACGCCTGCCGCAAATATGTTGCACTAAATCCTGATAAGTCACATCCATCAATACAGAAAATCTTTCAATTTTACGCATCAATGACGCATGGCGTTACACTTCGTGCAATTTGTCAACGCTTGTGTCCACAAAATTACAACATCGATGAAAGAAAACTAGTCATATTTGGTTTGCAACATAAATTCATTCGCTGCATTCACAAATATCCTGTGTTTACGGGTTCTGTGCCGTCAGGGCGTCAAAAAATGTATACAGGACTTTCGAGCTTTGATGAGATTTGCTGTAAAACAGGCCTATCGCCATTTAATATTGAGAAGGACATCGATAAGGATACTAACGTGACGGTAATATGGAAATAAGGTAGCACTTTGCCGTTTTTGGTTAAAACTTAGCCCGTTTAATTAACTCCTTACTGGAGAATATGCATTAATTCTACAATGTGCATTAAGTTTTGATTTAGAATTAAGACTATAAATACGTTGCGACATATTTTAAAGGTTAAAAATATTTTTGAATATTTCAAACAAGAAAATGAAAATCAGTTAAATGGTAAGTTTTGTCTTCATTTTAATTATGACTTCACTAATTTTAATCACTTAACTAGTGTTTTGAAATCGCTGTTATATCTAAGATTTTATAAAAATAGAAAAAAATCTATCGAGAAATCTTCTGGATTTAGATTTTGCGATTTTAAGAGTAATATTTTAAAGGAACAAGTTTTAACTGAAAAAGTCAGAAATTTCAGAAAATCTACTACGAAATATTTAGTTAGGTTTTCCACATTCTAAAAAAGTAAAATTGATTCTTTATATGCGAGTTATTGCGAAGTCCACCACGGTTGGAAAAATTCGTAGCTTCGAGTTTCGTGTAATCTACGAAAATGCTATCAGAGAATCCGAATGGCTAAGAACGAAAACTCGACATTCGTAGAGAGCCTTCACTGAATCCGCTCGTAATGAAGATTCGTACAGATACTCTACGACGAGTTTATGCTGTCGTAGCAAAATTTAAAATCATTGAATCTAAAAATAATGAAAAAAGCTGCATTATTGTTAATAATAAATATTTATTATACTCCAAAATTTTTATAGTTTGATATAATTCCATATATTTGTGTAAACGTAGACGTAAAATACCAATGTCATACATACATACACACGTACATACAAACATTCATCTGATAGACGCTATTTAATGAATGAATATTTTTTATGAAGCGAGGAAATAATCAGGGCTATCACGGAATCCATCGTAGAAAATATACGAATTCGAGGGCCTGCTACGTATACGAAAAAATTGCTATCACTGAATCCCAGTGAACTCGTAAATATCGTTGCCAGCTTCGAATGCTGATTTGAAATCTGCTAGTACAAAGGAAGCAATAGATATTTATGTATGCCATTTTAGTATTTAGTAAAGTTATGCATGCAGTGGGGAGGCTGTTAAGAAAAATAAAAATTATATAAAAATAAAATGATAAAAATTACCATATAAAGCAGAAGAATAAAAAAAACATTATAAACTGCGAAAAGCCTTCAATAATATCAAGAAATTATTGACATAAATACGAGCAGAAAGATGAACATCAAACGAAGGTTTAAAAGCAACAAAAGTTAGGTAATGGTCCGTAGCAAAACTTCGACTTCATGGTAACAAAGGTTCAGAATGAAGGATTTCACATTTTTCAAAAAATTTTGAAGAATTCTTATGTCGCGTATACTGGCAGGTAGCACATCAAATAATCAACGAGATACTATTGTATAAAATCTGTAGTGAATGAGTAGTTCGGGAGGGTGGGACGGCAAGAAGATGGTATGAGTTTTTCCTCAGAGCAGAGAGCAATATTTTCTAAGATGATAAAAGCAGCGTAATTCGGATTGAAGTTATTGTTTTAAACGGGATATGTGGTTACACCAATTTAGGTTTTGGTCAATGGATACACCGAGATATTGAAACTCATCAACTATCTCAATTACAAAACAATTGTTACTGCAGGACGCAAGGGAATTGAAAGTACCAGATTTTACCTTAGGGCACAAATGCCTGTGTAATGTAAGTCGATCGCCGTCCGAAGAATGAAAGGTAATTTTAACATCTGGTGATTTCTTTGCATTCAGGCTAAAATACATTAATTTGGTTTTACTGCTAACAACGAGCTTGTGTTTATCAAACCAAGCTCTCAGAAGATAAACGTCCTGATTTATACTAGCTACCAATTCAAATTAATTTGTTGAACCATATGCAAGTACTAGATCACCAGCAAATGCAGTGACCTTTCCTATAAGAGGCAGGTCAGAAATTGAGTTTATGTAAACTAGGAATACGATCGGACGAAACCTTGTGGAACTCCGATTTTTATTGTATTATAATTGCTAAAATTGTCATGAATTTTAACCCTTTGCACTCTCCCGGTTAAATAAGATTCAAACCCCGCATATATAAATCCACGAAAGCCGACAGAATATAATTTATTCAGTAAAATGGCATGATCCACCGTGTCAAATGCTTTCGTTATATCAACGAAAATACCAGGACAACTATTTTTCCTGTCCAAAACCTGATAAATAAATGAGCAAAAATCTAGGAGGGCATCCTCAGTTAAACGGTTAGTCCTAAACCCGAACTGACTTGAGCTAAAGAAATTCTTACTATCAAGAAATAAAAAAATCCTGCTTTTGAGTGCCTTCTCAAAAACTTTTGAACTCGATGGTAGTAATGAAATTGGCCTATAGTTATTTTTATCTTTCTTAGTACCCTTTTTAAATAAGGGAATATAGTTGCACATTTCAAATTATCTGGGTAAATTCCTGAGAAGACACTTTCATTGAATAAATGTGTCAGAATGTCTAACAAGTTAAGAGCAACTTTTTTAAGCAGTCTGTTCGAAACACCATCCTGCCCACAAGAAGTAGAGTTGTTGAGGTTTTTGATTATAGACAAAATCTTCGAGCCTGAGAAAGATTCAAATAAAAACCTGTTTTTAGAATTAAATATATTGTTATCCGACATGATATAAAAAAATCATTGAATACACCAGCAACGGCAGAAGAATAGGAAATGATATTATCACAGTGGCTCAAAGATATTAGGTGTGTACTCGTATTGAGAGGACAAGGTTCTCCAGCAGCAAAAGTTCTGAGAACTTAGCAGCATTCGCTCTCAAAGAGACGAAATATAAACAGAAGTACGAGAACGCAAAATTTGCAAAAACTTGCAACCTTCGAAACAGCTGATCACTTGCACAGTTGCCACTGGTGATTAATTTGGCAATTTATTTTCTGTTTGGTACATTTTCCCCCGATTTGGCATTTTATACAATTGAATAGTTTTCGATAAGAAAAACCTTTTTAAAATACAAATTAATTATATCGGAATGAATAAGTTATTTTTCTCATAATTATTTGTGATATCACATGGTGACGCATTCGAAAACAAGAGTATCTCGTCCAAACACCCATCACTGATCCAAAAACAATGTAATAGATATAGCTACAGATGTAGCTTTAAAATTATCAAATTTTCATTTCAACAATCAACCTACCAAAACCGAAAAATTCAGCAAAACAACATTTCAGCATGCTGCATTTAAATCTATTTTGGTATATTTAAAGTAAATTATGGTACAAACGAAAAATGTCATACGGCAACCATAGTCAGCACACACTAAAGTAAACAAACTAGAGATTAATAGCAAATTAGCGAAAAATAAACACAACAAGTGTTGTGCATATTAAATTTACTAATTTTTTCGTTGTATACTAGCATTAGTAATACAATTTGCAATAAATAACTCAAAAAGCCCATATTTTCTTTTGTTTATTTACAAACATGTGTTTGTGATCAGCTGACTTTCTTACTTGCAAATTTTTGCTGGGAAAAATTTTTCCAGCAGAAATTTGCAGCTCTCTTTCACATTTTGCTCTCTCAATTTCCCCTATTTTGCAAGTTTTTTGGGTACGAGAACGCAAAACCAGTAAAAGTTTTCTAAAACTTTAGATAGTTGGGCGTACGAGTACACTCCTATTATGTGAGCGTCAGTTTTACAGTTCTAGTTAACAATACTGTTGATGACATCCCATTCCTTCTTCGAATTGCCTCGAGAATCTTGAAACTTATTTAAAAAATAAAATTATAGTTTAAAAAACTAAAACCTCCCTATTATAATTGCCATTCGTACTGTCATTCGTACTGTTAAATGTAACTTGAGAATAGAAATCGCTGCATCTTTTAGGCGCATCAATATTACATAGTTACATCCCGAGCTAAATTAGGTATGTAGGTTTCTATTTGTCCAAGGTAGGTTGGTATTGAAAATGGGCGAAATCGGACTGTAACCACGCCCATTTCCAATATAACGGTAATTTTAAGAAATACGAAAACTGCGATATTTTAGTAACTACTGATGATTATTCACTCAAAATTGATATTTACAATAAATTTTAGACGAGAAATAAGAACATTATAAATTTTTGGAAAATGGGCGTAGCCACGCCCACTTATGGTTACATGTGTAACCATGTTTCCGAAAATCTTTAAAATCGGACAATAACCGAGCCTACATCCCATATAACGGTAATTTAGAGAAATACAAAATCTACGATAAATCAGTAAATATTAAAGCTAATTTATTCAAAATTGATGCTTGCAACAATTCTTTACCAAGAAATACGTTTATGATAAATTTTTGGAAAATGGGCGTGGCACCGCCCATATATATGTATCTCGGTAACCGTTCTACCAATTTGTACCAAACTCGGTATGGTTATTGTGTTTGCCATATAAAAGCAAAACGTTGAAAATTATTGAAATCGGACTTAAATTACGGCCGCTTTTCATATAACGGCAAATTTTAGAAATGTTTGAAACTTCAATATTTCGAAATTTAAGGACGCTAATTTACTCAAAAAAGTATATATTTAATACTTGCGCCGGGTATTTAATCGGCTCCGCCTGAACTTAGACTTCCTCACTTGTTTAATTTCGGTTTATTCCAACGTGACGGGTGGGATATTTAAGCTTAGTTTTCCTTAAACTTTAAGTAATTCCTCTTTAACCCTTAGTTTGGCAAGTATTAAACTGTTAACATCTGAATTCAGATATCGGTTTAACACGAAACTAATAAAGTAGAAAACTTAATTATATAATTTACACAGAAAATTTTCATTTTCCCAAGAGTGGCGGCAGAGACAACGACTACACCCACCTCTCCGAGAGATTCGTTGCCCATTTTAGACAAACTTTATACATCCCAACATTTATCCCAGTTTAGACAAACTTTAAACATTTCTTGCATAGCTGCTTTTTCGAATGTAGTTAATATAATTGGCGGCATTATTATATTTGAAAAAAAGGGTAGCTTGTGGAGGGTGGGACAGTACTTTGTGACTGGTGGTTCGAGTCACTAGTGAGGACACATAGGATTTTTGCACTTTTTTCCATAAAAGCATGAATTTCCTATTAAATAAAATGCGGAAGACCGTTAGCAACAAAATTTAAAAAAAAATCAACGCCAATTTTTGTAAATCGTAGCTGTTATATAAAAAAAAAACGCAAAAGTAGTCACAAAAAAATCTCAAAAATCAACGGGATTTTTTAGCCAAAAATTTTTTAAAGATTCAGATTAAAAAATTTGGAAATTTTGACGAAAATTTGTTGAATATTCCTAAATTTTGTATAAAGTTTGAATCTGATATTTTTATAGAATTTTTAAAGTTCTTTCAGATGGACAAAAACAGGATATACATTTATATTTCTTGTTGTTTCGATTGCGAATACAATTTTTTTCAGCCGAGTTAAGTTCAAATCATTGGAATTAACTAAATTAATTATACCAACAATTTCCTTTTTCAGAAAAAAATCGCTCGCTAAATTTAACGAACTTATTTATTCAAATTATCGTCGCCAAAAATGCAACCATGTGCCACAATCATATGTGTTTCAGGAGAACTGTCACTTTGCGCTTTCAGTTTTTGAGTAATGGATAATTTTTTTGTCTGCACGAAGGCGATTTGGGCAAAAATCGTGATAATTCGAAGAAATTCGTACACATTTTTTGCACGAGGAACAAACCTAATGTAAGTGTAGTACTTGACATATCATTTTGTTAAGCACTTTTAGCTTTACGGCCTTAAAATTTTTTTGCTGTATAGCTTTTATTGCTTTGCAATAGAATACTGTCTTCCTGTAGTAGCGTCCCACATTCCTTACGCTATCCTTTAAGTATCATTCCCCAAACTTCATTCGGTCAATGTCCATAAACTTAATAAAAATAACTGTTCCATCATTTGGAAGTGCTGCGAGTAAAATATTAGCAGCAAAATTCAAAATGATGTTGGCAAGTTATGTTTATTTATTTATTTTTGATAATTTTCGTTTAAAATATGGTTCGATTTATAACAGAAACCACATAAACAAAAGTTTCAAAGATTGCACAAAGTTCACAAAAATTAATCAATTAATCAGAATCATTTTATAAAAATTTAAAATTTTTATTCAGAGATTTTAGATTTTATTTTGTAGCCCATTCAATTTAAGGACAATAATTTACCGTTGATTTTTTCAATTTTTTTAATTGGGGGTTTGCACACTTTTTCCATAGAAAAATAGATTTTGTTCATATGCTGTATGGAAGGAAATTCTCAACACCTCGACAAGAAAAATCTAAAAAATCAACGATAATTTCTAGTGACTTGAAACTTGTACAAAACTGCATATTCGAACATTTTCTAAAAACTCTGAATAAGAAGTTTGAAAATTTTTTGAAGTTTCAATAATTTTTGTGAACTTTATGCAAGCTTTGAAACTGTTTTTATGTGTTTTCTCTTATAGATCGAACTATATTTGAAACGAAAATTATTAAAAATAAATAAATAAGCATTCAAAACGTAAATTTCTTAAATATAATAATGGCGTAAACGTTATTAATATCATTTCGCACACTGATAAAAATTAATCAAAAACTATGCAGCAAACAATTTCAAAACGGAAAGTAATGAATATGGACATAAGTGTGTTTATTTTATTTTAAAATTTCATCGATTTTTTTTTTTGGCTTTAGATGAATGGCGGAAACGGGTAAATGATCGGATTTTCAACCACATAAGGAGACAGTGTGCGTATTATTTTAAATACCAATACTTGAATTCTGAAGTTAATCAGGGCCATCTACAAGGTATGTATTTGCGATTGCGTAGCAAACTTAGAAATTTTTATTCGTCGCACTACTGAAAATTTAATAGTATTAAAGTGTTGCATATTGGGCAGATCTGGAAAAGGATGTGGTAAGGTGTACTCTCGAGGAGAAGAAAGAGAAATAGCTTCGAAGCAGCTAAACCACAAAACTGCGGAAATATATCGTACTGAATGAGCGCATAAGCTAATGAAGAAAGGAGAGAAAGGGCCAAGTATTATTCCAAATCAAGGAGCTTTGCGATACGCAAGATACAGACACGTTGCCAAAAGCCACCTTAATCCAAATACAATAATATCACTATACTTGTTAGAATCAAGAGCACTAAAGGAAAGCATTTACAACATCTCGTATTCGCCGTTTTATGTACACTTAGCCACAAAGCAGCAGGATACTATCTACCGAAACTTGTGTAAAAACACGAGCTGATTTATAGCAATAGACGCGACTGGGTCATGGGTTTGCCCTTTTAATTTTCCGGACAAACAGAAGAGCAGCCCGATTTTCTTTTTATATTTAATTGTTGATAGAACACCAGAAGTCTCAACTCCTATCGCTCAAATGTTGAGTGGCTGCCACGATACAAATACCATCTATCATTGGCTACGGGAATGGATTACAAAGGGTGGTTTCGATTATCCACCGGAAGTAATTTGCGATGGAGCCAGAGCACTTTTGGGTGCAGCCGTACAAACATTTACTCATTATTTTACCATAAACGGGTACGCTGAGTCAATGATCGATTCTAACAACATCCCCGTGTGCTATATTCGCTATGATGTAGCGCATTTTAAGAGGTACACGCAGACATTAAGAAGTCCCCAGGAAAAGATCTCAATGCTTATATGTACCCAGACTTGGTGAAATATATAATGAAAGATATGCCAACATTTCCGATGTGGTCGTGCCTAGTGCGCGATTATTTTGTATATGGACAAGTGCCGGCATCCAGCGCCCACGTCGAATCAGAAATAAAAAATATAAAGACGCTCCTCTTTCAACAAGAGAAATTGCCGGTCAGGGTTGACACTTTCGTCCAAAAGCATAACGAATATGGCAGTGGCACTATGAAGCTGTACGACAGTGGAATGCAGACTCTGCAACAAGAAAAATCGGATATTTTGAACTTGACAATGCCGGCAGCGATAGTTTGGGAGGACGAAGAAATTATACAGGCATAATGAATGAGACAAACACCAAAGAATGTGTGGTAATCATTGCAATAACTAATATCAATATGTGTATATGGCGCTTTCTGTCGGAACATCACTCCCTAACCATGGCGCAATAATCAGATGAAGTAATA